GTATCGAAATAATTTTGTGGCTTGTGCACGTAATCAGTAACTCAATTTGTGGCTTCCTGCAGCATTTTGAATAGTTATGAATACTAAATTTGCAAATATTCTTATGGGAAGGATACTTGTACATGTTGTCGATATCCGAGTGTGCTTCTTATAGCTCCTCCGTAAAATGCGTACTCAAGTATGGCAGCATTTATTGATTGCGTTTATTGCACAAACGACTACTATGAGTAGCTCTTATTCAGGAAATAATGTTTCAGAAATTCAAAAGAAGCTGATGATGGCTTCTCTGTGCTGTCTGCAAATGAAAATGTACCACAAATCTTATACATGTTATATTTGGCTAATTACATTAGTAAACAATTTCATTTAATTCTGAAATTCTTCTAAAATCACTAGAGCAAAACAGAAAAATTTCGATTGCAATCAAAAAATAATTAAAATAAAATAAAGTAAATACAATATTTAAAAATTAAAATAAGAAATAATTTATCTTGTTTGCTTTTGATTTTGTGCTTAATCCAGACAGTTTTAAATAAATTTTAAAAAAATTTAAATTAAGAAAAATTTAAATACTTAAATAAATATTGAGTTAGTATTAAATTTAAATCCATATTTTAATATATTTATTTCAATATCTTTAAATTTTTATTTTAAATTAAAATAAAATAAAATAAATACAATATTTAAAAATTAAAATAAAAAATAATTTATCTTGTTTGCTTTTGATTTTGTGCTTAATTCAGACAGTTTTAAATAAATTTTAATAAAATTTAAATTAAGAAAAATTTAAATACTTAAATAAATATTGAGTTAGTATTAAATTTAAATCCATATTTTAATATATTTATTTCAATATCTTTAAATTTTTTATTTTAAATATTTTGTTTTATCTTTTTTTAAATTGGCTCAAGTTTTTGACATTGTCAAAATTAATCATAAAACAGTCATGCACTCCTACGTGTGTAAATAACTTGGAAGTATACATATTTACTTTGCTCAATGGAATATTAAAATTCTTATCAAAAATAATTTAAGTTATTAAGTTTAACAAATATTTTGTATAACGACTAAATATGTTGTTTATTTTCACTAATGTGCTTTATTATAGTATTAAAAAATAATAATTGTACCAAGCAATATAGATATTTTTTTAATATTGCAACATAATTATTTGACAACGAATTTACAAATAAACCAAGTAATTCATAATTGTTTATTTATAATATAATCTGCTATTAATATGTAAAAGTTATAAAATTTTCAAATGAAAGACCCGAAATGAATATAAAGTTAATTGTGCAATTAAAAATATCTTTTTTAATGAATCGTAATACTTTTGACATCAAATTTGCTGAAATTTACTGAAGCACTAATACTAAAACTTTTATATCCTGTACGCTTATGACATGCTAAATAAAATTGCTACTACTTACAATGTCATACAACATTAATCTCGAACATTTAATTGTGATTATAAAATTTTGTAAAGTATAAGCAAATACACAGGATGGTTTACTACATTGTTTGTTAAATACGTTTTTTATTTAAAATAGTTACGATTTGGATTACAAATTAGTCAGTCAAAAGTTTAAATTCCTTTAAAGCAAAAAAGAGATATGATTATTAGCATTATTAGACAAATTTTTTAATTATTTATTTCAGTTAAAAAAATCATATTAGTAATAAACAAATTATATCAATAAACTATTTAAAAGTTAGACGGATTCGAATAGTAAAAAAAAGACAAGAACAACAATTTATTTAATTTATTGAAATTTGGCTGACCATACAACGATGTTTCGAGTATTGCCAAGTAGTCATCATCAGTCGTCTTACGAAATATTCGAATTCCTTAACTAGTTTACAGTATGTACATAATTTGTGTGAAGTGCAGATGCCAGGCTTAGAACTCGTGCCTGTCCAATTAAAAGCAATGACTATTCGTGTTTTTCCACAAGTAGCCAAGGCTGCACAAACTTTCAATGCTTAAGTTCCAGGTTTTTTTGTAACTTTTTATTTTATTAGTGACACTAACCAATGCCTTTGCCTTGCTTTAAATTAGAACGAGCTTATAAACTACAGTTTTATTTGGAAACACAAGTTCAACGAATTAAATTATATTATTTATTTTCATTTTTATTTATTTTAATTTAAAAAAATATGCCCGACTGTAAGAAGAGGTTCCAAGACCGACCGGGTCTACGTACCGAAGCCACTCGTCACCATCGACGATCAACACCTACTAAAGAGACTTAACAAGCAGGTCGCAGCGGGTTACAACAACAACAACAAATGTGCGAAAAGGGGGGGAAAAAGAAAGAACTAGCTGACTAAAATATATATTAGATTGAATAAGCATTTCTACTTAATTCTTAGAGGAGTATGCCTTTATGATTTTCTCACCACAAATAAGTTCAGTATGTACTATATTATATATTATATATTATATATTATATATTATATATTATATATTATATATTATATATTATATATTATATATTATATATTATATATTATATATTATATATTATATATTATATATTATATATTATATATTATATATTATATATTTCTTACTGTATTATACATTTCTTGAACGGATTCTAATATCACTCATACGTATCAGCTCATTTCCTAGCATTTCAACATAAATTTTATGTAATACCCGCTCAAATGTTGAAGTTAATTCTGAGCTTACATTAAATACCACAAATTTGCTTGTAATAACCTCACTCAGTTAAAAAAGCTAAACAAGTGAACTATAAAATTAGCTAAAATTCGTTTGTCAACAATAAAACCAATATAAATGCAATGCAAATATTTTCATAAACGCAGGAATTAAACTACTAATTTACAAAAACAAAAACAATCACATGAGCTTTTGCATTGTACATAAACACAACTTAGTTTTAATATTGGAATTATATATGTGTGTATAATAGACACTATGAACTATTTCGCTATTTACACTTAAACATTAAACACACGCATATTCCTTTACATTGCATGGCATCATTTAGTGGTTAGAGCTTAAATAAGCACAAACAAATACGTGCGGCATATAAGTGTATGAGTGTATGTGTGTATGCATGTTTGCATGATTTGAATGGATTTTTGATTTGCTGACAATAAATACAAGCACACAATCGTATTTATACAAATGTTAACTTACGAAAATACTCATATTAGCATTCAAATAGGCTAACACAAATCAAACACACTTAAACATATTTTACCGTTGTTTATATGTTTATATAATTTATAACATGAATAACAATTACAGAAGTTGGAAATATTAACAGTCAGAAATATAAAAATGATTTGAATGCATTGAGCTCATTTAAAAACATTATTCATGCATGAATATGTATGAATGTGTTTGTGCGTGACTAAGTAAAAATTGTGCTAAAATTCTTGTATAAACATTTTTATTCTAATTTTTTTGTAGTTGATTATTATTATTACACATTTTTTTTGTTTGCTTTTTGTGTTCTCTTATTACTTATCAGTGCAAAATTCTACAACAAATTAACAAAAAACGAAAAGTATGTCTTTTCTTCTATTCATGTTTGTTGTTCCAAAAGTTGTTAAACATTTTTATACCCACATAAAATAACAATAATAAAAATACAAACAAAAAATAACTTGCACTAATGGTTAAATAAATTAATTAATTTATCTACGATTTGTTTCTCATTCGATGTCAACTTCTTGTTTAACAGAATTATTAACAATGATTTTCAGTTGATAAATAATAAACTTGTATTGTTATACACATACAGATATACATATATAGATACAGATACTTTCAAGTAAATGTTCAAATAAATTTATCTGTATGTACTATGACTGATAAGAATTTTCTTGTACTTACTTTAACAAGGCCGTCATCACTTTAACAATGTGACACACTTTATTTATGTAGATTTATAGTATTTATGCAAAACACCCACAAAAATTCAATTTATAAAAATATGTATCTTACTTCCACAATAATATTAAAATATTAACTAAATTTACTAAAAAACTTATAGTTATAATCTATAAGCAAATACTATTATATTTAAAATTTACTTGCATTATCTGAAATTTTAAATATTAAACATTGGATATTAAAAGAACTTTACAAGTATCTTAAGTTGCTTGTGCTGTGTTCAAAGGTCTTAGCTTAAGCTTATAAACAATAACAATGTGAGTATAAAATAATAAAAAAAAATAAATAATAAAATTTTTTTCATAGCAGCCACTAAATTGCAGCTCTTCAGTTTTATGCATTTTCAAGGTAGATTCAGTAGTCTACGACGGCCGAAGAAACTACTTCCAGCTGAACTTGTGCATTGTACAAGTATTTAAACAGCAAAATAAATAAGTATTTCGCTTAACTATTCAACAAGAAAAAAAAA